AAATGCTTCTTAAATATATTCAACAAATTAATCAATTAAATTAACAGTAGAAAAATATTTATATTTCAAAGCAAATGGATAAAAATAAAAAATGCTGTTCGGCAAGTTAAAACTTAAATAAATTTTTCTTAAGCTGTGGAAGTACCCATTACTCATATCGAACCGAAATGTTATTAATATAGCTTTATCCTGAGCGTTACCTTTATATAAGGAGTGATAAGAGACGTATATTCAAAAGGCGGAAACGAGAGGCACGAAGACGTACATATGTAAGTAGGAAGAGCTTGAGATGTTGACAGAGTGGAATACGACTCGAAAATTCTTTATGAAAATAATTAAGCAATAAAAATAATGGTTTCAAGACGAAGATGGAAATTTGGTAACAGATGCAAAGAGTGCACTTGAGATATGGAGAGAACAATTCTTAGCACTTTTGAATGGCGACATCGACGGCCCGTTTAACGATGAAGAACCCTAAACAAATCCGACCAAGACATGGTGAGCACAGCACTAAGGCCACTTTTCGCCTGGTTAAGAGTAAATGCAAATATCTTTGTTAGGAAAAAGCTGGGCTCTAGTTCCAAACGAAAAAGCGACAGAAGAAGCTCGGAGATGGCGGTTAAGATTACGATTAAGATCGATAATGACACTGAGATTAAATTGGTTCTGTAACCGCCTAAGTGATTTTAGCCAAGTTCAACAAAGCACGCCAGTTATTTCTCTTCTTTGCCAACTGACGCCAATTGGAAATGCCAAGTGAAGCCAAGCCCTTTTCTACTTGGCCTTTTCATCGCGGTGGGAGCCGCCCTCTTCCGAGCTGAATACTTTTTGACCTTGAGCGTCGAGGTCCATTTTAAGGTCAAGCCAGCGGAGCCGCTGTATTTAAATTCGCTGCACTATGTCCATGTCGTCGTAAAGCTCATAGAGCTCATCATTCCATCGTCTGCGGTAATCGCCGTTGCCAACGCGCAAATGCGCGTAAATCTTCTGCAAAATCATTCTATCGGTTGTTGTCATTGTCCATATTTCTGTGTCATATACTAAAAGAGTGTGGCTTGCGTACGTTGAGAGAGGACTTTACTTCTGAATTGCCTACTCAGTCCAAAGTAGCACTTTTGGGCAAGAGTGATTCTGCGTTGAATTTCGATACACGTTTTTATATTTATCTTGAACATGATTCGTAAATACCTCAATTAACGAATGCTCGCATATGACACGAAGGAAGGGAGGAAATCGTATGAAAAAACATCTGGAGAGCGAGCAAAATGAAGGCAACTCCTTCGGGATAATCCAGAAAAAGAAAGCCGCATCCATTTCGAAATGGCAAGAAAAGTAGGCCCGTTGCTCTCGAGAAAGATTTACGCAATTTATGATCGGCCACGGTGTCTACCCCTGCTGCTAGCATCAGTTTGGACACGACTACTTACCGCTCTACCCAGTCTGCAATGAAGATGCTTCCTACGTATTTCTTACAAGCTCGCGTTGAAACGACGTAAGGATGAAGCTTACTGATCTTAATGTCGCAATTCTAACTTAGTGAAATTTCAACGCCAACATGTTCCTTCCAGAGCATAATTGATTCATCGATTTCAAAAGGATCGCTTGGATAAACTAGCAGTTGTGATAAAGTGACACTAGTTGCCGCAGCAATATATGAACAAGGCCGTGTCTTAGAGCCTATACAACGAAACAATGAAGGAGGAATTTCGTTACAAAATTAGCGGACGTGACTATGGTGGGCGGGTGCGAAAGGACCCAATTAGGCCTACAACATACAAACAGAGATGATTCCAAATTGATGCAACTTTACAAACGGCATCAGGACTGTAACGAACTTGATCAAACTGAAACGAGAAAAGAACGCTACATGACAACAAGAGTTTTAGCTTGTTTCATACCAATTGTGCTTTGGGGATACGCTTTCTATATTTTCGACTCGTTAAAAATAATTTAGGAATAGTTGAAACCTTTTCAAAACGAATTTTTTAGAAAAATCCACCTTTTTTGATTTCAAGTTAAGTTCGTGAAATTGCTCTCTTCCTCACTCACCCAAAATATACATCATAACGAAATTGCTATCTGTCGCCATGCCGGATAAGAAGCGAAATAGCGAAAATGTTGGCAGCGTTGTGCCAAATACCGTTAGAGAATTTCCAACCATGGCCACAATATTTGCAACAATCAAGATGGGCAGGCGACCTGAGGAGATAAGAAAGAAATACTTATGCAATAAAATTTTGAACACAAAAAAGAAGTAGACAAAAAATGTGTGTTTAGCTTACCCAAACTGTCTGCCAGAAAACCAAAGAGCAGGCTGCCCACCACTGAGCCAACGAAAAACATCGACTGTCCCAGCGTTGCTTGCCACGCGCGATCACAAATCCAATTCAGTTCGCTAGTGAAGCTCTGATAACCCATATACAATTCATAGTCAAAGTGCTGGCACACTGCTGAAAAATTCGTTGGCGCCAAATCATCATCCTCAGCTGCCAACCGATGTGGATGGCATGATGAGTCCGACTGCTTGCTAGCTTCCGCATAGGCATCCATAGGATCCGTGTAGCCATCAAGGCACCTGGCGAAAGGAATTAAAAAAAAAAAAATATTCAAAAAATATATTTTAAATTATTTTACTAATTCCTAAGTAGCGTAGCGGGCCGCCGCACAGTGGTCTGAAATCAAAAATTAGTTTTCAATATAGCGTAGAGCCACCAATTCCTAACCGATTTAATGAATTTTTTAAAGGAAGCTGGCGAGAGGTTTCTCGAGCACCATTCTTGAATTTTTATTTGTTTACACCAAATTTTGTTTGTGCAAAATACAGAGAAATTAGCAATTTTGTATAAGAAAATCGATTCTCCTGTCCCTGTTAATGAATGTAACATAAAAAAAAATAGTTAAAAGCAATTATAGGGTTCCCTCAAAAGGAGAATAAATAGCAAAAAAAATTTAAATTAAAAAAAAAATCATAAAAAAATTTTTTTTTTTTAGAAAATTTTTAGGTATGCAGGGTGCAAGTTGCAAGTTGATTTTTGATAATTTTTTTTTTTTTGCTGCCATTTCGAGAACTCTTTACTCGCGTGGAAGCAAATGTCTAGCACCGCTATTTTAAACCCTAATTTTTGATTTCAGATCACTGTGCGCCGATTAACTCAATAATGGATGAGAAGCACATTTTACGAACTGAAAAACGATATGCAGTATTGGGATGACGTGCGTTTCGTATGGAAATAAACGACTTCTATTCGAGGCGATTTGAATTTTCTCATACGAGTTCACCAGACCGACGCGTCGCGACGGGACGTACAGTGGGATAAATGCAGGTGGTCGTATGAAATGTTTATAAAAAACTAAAAACAATTTACCTTTACTGTATAACACAAAATTATTAACGACGTATTGTTTACTAAGTTAAATAAATTTTGTATACAATTCTTTTTCAAAAATTGGCTTTTACCGATTGGTAAGAAATTTCATTAGCTCTTTTATTTATAAAAAAAAATAAAAAAAATCGGATGAAAATTTAGACCTCTAGACTGATTTTTCCTACACCACTTTCATTTTCTCCACTGGATAATGAGCGAAAGTTGCCCAAAATTAAGTTTTGAAATTGATTGAATAGAGTATCTAATTATAGATAAATAGAGGCACACTTGGCCCAAGTTTCAAACAAATTGATTAATTATTTCTTTTTATTGAAATTATTTTTAATTCACGTTCCGCCTCTTTGTAGAAAATATCATTTATTTTTCTTCAAAAGAACGCGAATCTTTAAGATTCAGGTGATTTTAACTTTAAACTGATTAGTTTCCCCAAAATAATGAATCCAATATGGCGGTCGAGCGTATTAGACAAAATATTGAATTATTATAATACCTGATGCAAAGGTTTTTTGTTTAACTGGTTTATAACGAATCCAAATTTTTACTATAACGCCTGCAGTTAGCCTACGATAAATGTAGTATTAAGGGTATATTACGTTGAGGTTGCAGAGCTATATTTATACCCCTTTTTTACTTTTTTTTAGTAGTTCATATTTCTTCTTTTTTGTTTGTTAGTTCCACATCGAGGAGTTCATTTTCTGATTCCTCTTCATTTTCAGGTTCGGAGGAATAACTGACATCTGAGCCATTTTGATTAGTCTCCCTGGTATTTGGAACTTCAAGTGAAGCTACGGCAGACAATTCGAGGATCGTCAACTTTTTTGTTTAAATTCTTACTTGAATTTAAGGGATCTGTTGAATCCATTGCTCTATAAAAATATCTGATATGTTCGCAGATCTATTGAATTTTCTGCTGTGTCGGAGTCAGTCATTTTTATAGTCTTTATTTCGGGCTTCAGAGCCCTCTTCGGCCGCTAGCCTACTGGCAAGAGGACTGTACCTTGTAGGTTTTAATATGGATTTCAGCAGTTTCAAAACAAAACGCCTTAAAATGGATCCCATTAACTAGATAATAACACGATGTATGTATGTAAATAACTATTCCTTTTTCATTTATCTGCCATATTGGATCTGCCCACATGTCCGAAGTCTCATTAAAATCGATCAATGGCTTCATATTTTCGCCACTTTTGATGAGCTGCTAGCCCACAGTGCACTGTGCGACGTCGAATCGAGTTCGAACACTTCCTCTTTCTGTGACAAATTGGAATCAGTTCAGCTGTTTTCTATTTTTTTAGAGTAGTAAAAACAACTTAATTTTTGAGAGTATTTTGGGTAGAGGGCCTCAAATGTTTTTAGAAAACTCTAAATTTAACTTAAGGACATTTAAATGCTTAAAAGAAGAGGTGCCATGTAGGCTGAGGTGGAAGTTATTGGGGGCAACGTCCAAGGATACTACACAGCCTTCGGTGTTCTATATTATTTGCAGTACTCAAGGAAAGGGAAAATATGATAGAAAATAAGTGGAAGGGCATTGGACCAAATGGGCGAAAGTCATCGGCCAACCTTCTAACTAAGTACTTCCAAACTAGTCAATGCAGATGAATTATGTTGGTAAATAAAAAATTATTTTTTTATTAATCTACATGCTCGTAAGTGTCAGGTCACATCTAAATTCCTGCTTATTAGGGTAAAAAGAACTCAGATCAAGTATTGCGTAACCCGCAACCAATTACAGCACTCAGGAAGGCTCACTCAAGGAGGCCTCAAAGGGCGCTTCATCGAGCTAGTAGGATATCAGATAACTACTGGAATTCATAAGTCGTCACTTGTCGAGGTACAAACCATCGATTACGCTGGGATATATTGCAACCTTATTTGGCATTCGTGACTTGAAGAAGATGACACAGCGGACCTAATGGTCCGCATACTTCGCATAAGTTTCAAGCTCTCTTTTTATATGTACTCCATTACCCCGAAATTAGCAGAACTTGTAAAAACTTAGAGTTTAGATTAATTCTCACATTTTCTTAAATAACATTTCAATTGCAGTGTCACTAGTGGTTGTGTGAAGTATCCGTAATTAGACCTTAAATGCTGATTCTGCACGTGTTGTGCGTTCGGAACAACAAAGGAGGTTTTCTTACAAGATTTGAAGAGTTGTATACCCAATTTAATTGCATCACTGCACTCGCAAGTTTTACATACTGATGTAACATGGCTTAAGCTTTACCAAGCCGTGGAAGGAAAAATGAGCCCGCAAATTATTCCAAGCACTCTTCAGCTAAAAGAAGAATTGGTCAGTTGACGTGTCCAAAGTTATAAGTTATGTCGTAACATATGTATATAAAAAAATTCCTAAGAATTGATGCCTCCTCCTTTTTTTGAAGTCGGTTAAAAAGTTAACTGTCTCATAAAATAGTAGCATAATCGGTCATTGGGGAGTACGGGAGTATGGATGACAAAATAGCCTAGTACTTTCGGCAACACTGAATGTAATGTGACTCACCAATATTTCGGCACGAAGCTTATGATTGTTTGTGAGTAGTAATGCAGCGCCGATAGCAAATTGATGATGCAAAATAGCAGCAACATAATCGCCTGTAAGCGATGACAATCGCCGCATTTTTCCAAAATTTTATCCAGCTCCAACATTTTTGACGATCCTAATGCAGGGTTTGATTTTTAATGCGGTAGGAAAAGAGTTTAAACAAATCTAAACCATAAACACAATTTTAATTACGCCGTCACTTCACTTTTAAGAGCTGTTTCCAGCTGTAAAGAAAAACGAAAAATTCATATAAAATGACGTACAAGAAATGGAAAAGAAATTTTCTTTTATCAAAATTTCTTAAACCAATTTGCAGCTCTCAAGAAAAAATTGTTGGGATCAAGGCATATTGAACAGGTAGTATCAGTACGTGGCGCCATTAATAATAATTTAATAATTCCGCCATGGTATCAGTATAGCAGCTGATTTGATTTTTTTTTAATAATTTGGTCTCAAAAATGTCAAATATTTTTAATTTCTTCTCACAAAAATTTCAAATTGTTTAAATCTATTTGCATGTGAAACCATTTTCCATACAAACTAGCGATTGAATAGTACCTTTTGGAACGCTCGCCCCACTCAGCAGCACAACCGCTGATTACTGGGCCTTGCAAAGGATGGATCAATGCTTCGAGAAGCAAACAGATTTACTAAGAAAGAAAGTTACAACAATTTTAATTTTTTCTAATTGCAATTTTTTTTTTATTTTTTGCATTTCACATGGCACGCTTTGAATTAGAAGAAAAAAATCAGAACCGTTTTTGACACTTTCGATACCGGAAGCAACAACAAAATACACGAAAATGTTGTTTTCGCTCTAATGCTACTACCTTTTTGATATGCCTTGGTTCGCATATATATTTCTTTAAGAAAATTTACAGCAAAAGCAAAGTGCTTTTTCAAGCAATCGAAATAATGAAAAATATTTCTTGTGATTTTTCTTGAGAGCTGGATTCTAACTGCCATACCTAAAAAAAAGCGTCAGCGTTGTCTGGCCGTCAAAAAAAATCTCATGGCCATACAATTTGTATGAAGCATACAGAAATACCGTGGCGTCAACGCTGATCGGATGGAAAATCCGATTTTGACAGGGCGTTAGGAAGTGAAGTTGGCTGCAGAAAACGGCGAAACTGTCCTTTTCGCATTTCACACAAACAAACCTATGCTTGTTGTTTGTGTTATTTCTGCATTTAACGTAGCGTCGCCGCTTTTGTTTAGGCATTGCACTTCGGCGGTAACGCTAGGCGCCAGAAAACGCTCCGCCCAACGTTTTTGTTTAGGTATGGCAGTCAACTTTAGCTGGAACTATAATACTTGTAGGCACTCACATAAGATGAAATAATTATTTTACTGCAGCTACGACTTCGCTCTTTGTTATTGAATTATTCACTGTGATTGTTTACATTGTACTATTTCGATTGGCGCGAAATTTTCTGCAGCTGTTGTTTAATGGCTTTTGCTCTTATCAATCACAGAATACTGTAACAGATTATTGCTTAATTGATGTTGAAAATCGAAGTTGACAGCCTTAATTCAATGTACACTTAGTTAATCCAAATTGAGATTTTGGTTGTTCTTATTCTGAGTTCAAAGGACTCTTAATCGTATGAATCACGTTGATCTTTTTAAAATATTTAATCTTTATTCTGGGAAAACATATGTTTTTTTATATATTTTGTATTACATACCTATACATATATGTATATTAGACTGCATCACTCCCCATGCAAAAAAACGACACTGTTTTTCCATTGGAATTATAAAATCGGTTATATTTTAAGACGTCCACCAAAATATTTCCGAAAAATATTAAGATTTAAGTGAGTGGGCCGATTTGAAAATACCACTAAAAATGGAGTTTTTTATGAATAAAAATAGTTTCTTAAAGATGTTTTTTGAAGAAATCCCCTTAATCCCTTTAAGCTTAAAAAATTAACATAAAAATATTTTTAAAAAAATTAAAAAAATTTTTAACGGAATCGTAATGATGAGATTTTTTATGCTGTTTTTTAAATTTTTTCAAAGATTGGTATAAGAAAAACTTGAAT